TCTCGATTTCCTGACCTCGTGATCCACCCGCCTCGGCCTCCCAAAGTGCTGGGATTACAGGCTTGAGCCACCGTGCCCGGCAACACTTCTATATCTATATACAAGCTATGTGTGAACCAGTGTCATTTACTGAACATAAAGGGAACCCATTTGATTAGGGCAGGGCAAGAGATGCAGGCAATGTACACTTTCAGGCATGAGTGAGAAGGTGATGGTAGCAGTTGAAAAGTCTGAAATAGTGCAATCAGTTCACATTTATGCTAAACAGTGTGGCACCAAAGCACAAAGAATGTAGTATTCATTTAAGCCAAATCACTATTTAGGGTTGCTATTACAGGGTTTGATTTTTAAAATGTAAGGAAATCTAGTTACAAGTTAAAGTCCTAGATGTATGTGATTACTCATACTTTTTTGCCCACTGTGAGGCTGAGAAAAGGCGAGGGTGTCGCTATTAGGTTGGTGCAAAAGTAATTGCGGTTTTTGCCATTCATTGCAGTTTTCGCCGTTACTTTTAATGGTGAAAACTGCAATTACTTTTGCATCAGCTTAATAGCTCACGAATCTTTTTAAAAACAATTTTTAAAATTATTGTGACGTATATTACAACTGAGAACATAAATGCTGTGTACAGTTTGAAGAATAAAATTGAAGCACATTCCTGTGTACTGTGCGCTCAGCATTAGAAACAGGATCTTTCTAGTACTTTTGAAGACCCACCCTCTCAATTCCCCCTCCTACCTCCATTGCATCCTTTCCACTCCCTTAAGACATAACAGATACCCCAGAGTTTGTATCCCTTGCTCATTTGCTTTTCTTTGGAGCTTTACACCTAAGTATGGAGACTACAGTGATACATTGTTTTGCTTGGTATGTTGTAGACATTTATGTAAATGGAATCACACTGCATGTTTTTCTGTTAACTTTTTTTTTCTTTCAAAATCACTTTTGAGATGTGTTTGAGATGAATTTGTAGTTCATTTGTACTCGATTTCCATTGTGTGATCATGCCATCATATTTTATCCATTCTACCATTTTTTTTTTTTTTTTTTTGAGATGGAGTCTCACTCTGTTGCTCGTGTTGAAGTGCAGAGGTTTGATTATAGCTCACCACAGCCTCCAGCATCTGGGCTCAAGGGATGCTCCCACCTTAGCCTCCAGAGCTAGGACTGCAGGTGCATGCCACCATACCTGGCTAATTTTTTAACTTTTTGAAGAGACAGGGTCTCACTGTGATGCCCAGGCTGGTCGCAAACTCCTGGGCTCACATGATCCACCTGCCTTGGCCTCCCAAAGTTCTGGGATTATAGGAATGAGCCACCTCAGCCAGCCTCAATTCTACTATTGATGGAATTCAGGTTGTTTCTGATTTTGTGAAAGTAAAACTCAGGCTTTTATGAATGTTTTCTTAGTGCCCACTTTGCAGATTTCTCTGGGATATACCCAGGAGTGCAATACTGGGTAGACCCACCGTTAACTTTATAACGTGTGGGTTCCAGCCAGCTTAATGTAGGTGAGACTTTCTAGTGCTTTGCCTCACACCTGTGGCACTAACCTCTTCCCTCCTGCCCTAGATGCTCAGTTCTAAGATGTGGAAGTATTAGCTCCCTTTAGGGTAAGCCTCTAACTGATGGTAGATAAAGGCTATGAATAAATGCTGCCTCTCTTTTTGTCTTTCACGACCCACGACCAAGAGTTGCATTTCATACGGCTTCTCAGTGAGGACCCAGGAACCACAGCACCTCTGGCAGCATGCAGAATGCACCCTCATGTTGCTCTCACTTCTTCCCTGCTTCGTTCTCTTGTTCAAACTTGCCCCCTGGGGGTCACTCTCCAATACAATGCTCTGCCTTACTTAGTTGGCTGTGTTTTCCGGGAATCCCAGGCTAAGACACTTTGATTCCATTATAAACATTTACAGCTATAAATTTTCTTTTCAGCACCTTCATTAGCTGTATCTCAACATATTTTGATTTGCAGGGTTTTTTGTTTTTGTGGAGTAGGGAGTTCTAAGACTTTCCTAGTTTTCACGATTATGTTGTCATTTACCTATTGATTATTTGTATGTGTTTATATTTTGTAGATTTTGACAGGTATCTTTTTTGTTATTGATCTCTTAGTTATATTGTGATTAGAGGTTTTTTCTGTTCAATTCTGCTTCTTCGAAATTTATTGAGACTTGCTTTGTGACTTACTACATGACCAATTTTTACAAATGTTTTCTACATGCTTGAAAAAAGTGTTTTCTTCAGTATTGTGGGCACAATGTCTATATTATTGTCCTCTCAAATCTACTTTTTCTTTCTTTCTTTCTTTCTTTTTTTTTTTTTTTGAGACAGAGTTTCGCTCTTTTTGCCCGGGCTGGAGTGCAATGGCGTGATCTCAGCTCACTGCAATCTCCTCCTCCCGGGTTCAAGCGATTCTCCTGCCTCAGCCTCCTGAGTAGCTGGGATTACAGGCACCACTACACCTGGCTAACTTTTGTATTTTTAGTAGAGACGGGGTTTCTCCATGTTGGTCAGGCTGGTCTCAAACTCCCAGCCTCAGGTGATCCACCCACCTCGGTCTCCCAAAGTGCTGGGATTGCAAGTGTGAGCCACCGAGCCCGGCTGTCCTCTAAAATCTTCTGTATACAGCTAGTGCTCAACTTACGACCACGATTGGGTCGACAGACCGGTTGTAACACGATTTGGTCGTAAGCTGAGTAGGCTATATGTACAGTACTGTGAAACGATGTTAAAAAAATCTTTGTCATATTTTATCATAATTTTCTTTCATTATTGTTATATATCATAATTTTCTTTGTTCATTTTATGCCATTTGTATCATCTCTACACCATTTTGTTTCTTATTTTTACATTCGTCAGGTTTAAGTAAAACACTGCATTACCAGAACAACTCGTTTAATATTTGCAAAATATTGTGGTCGTAAAGTCGAATGGTCGTAAGTTGCATAGGTCGTAAGTCGTTCAATACCTGTACTTGCTGATTGTTTTTCATATGCCTGATGTGTCAATTACAGAGAGAAGGATATTCACATCTCCCACTATGACGGTAGATTTGTCCATTTCTCTTGGGCAGTCAATTTTTGCTGCATATGTTTTTGCTTTAAATCATCTCCCCAAATTAGTGAGGGCTCAAGAATGGAGTTGAGGTCAAGAAAATGATTGTTTCAGCATTTCAGATTATCTTAGGCTGTTTTAAAAAGAAAAAAGTGGATAAGCCTTAGCTGAGCCATTTTATTTAAAGTGAGTAATGAGTGAACAGGTAAAAAAAAGCCCCTCATTTGTGTTCTATATGAATATATGGATTTTTCACATAACTGAAGTTTAGGCCAATTAAGTGTCTAAATCTCTAAAAAATTTAACTGTTTTCTCTCCCCACCCTTTTATTTTGAAAAACATCAAATCAATATAAATTTAAAGGACTAGTGTAATGAAAGCACAGGAAACATGAACACCTTCGAGATTCACCAGTTTTAATGGTTTTGTCATACCTGCCTTCCCCTCACCCAATATATATATTTTTTGGTTGAGTCATTGAGAAACAACTTGCAAGCATCATGACACTTCACCTCTGTATGTTTTGGCATTCATCTCCCAAGAATAAAGATATTCTCCTAAGGAACCACAATACTGCTATGACATATAAGGCTTTAATGACGTATTAGGATTTTCAATAGAAAATCATCTATTACATACTCATTTTCAAGTTTCCCCAATTAAGCCCCAAAATGTCCTTTGTAGTTAGTTTTTATTTAAAAATTTAGTATTCAAGTAAATTCCCTGTTGCATTTAATTGTAGTGCTTTTCAAAATTTGGAACCAGTAACCCCTACCTTGCTCAGACCTCCAATTTTTTTCTGACTTATAAGAAATTGAGCCCTAGAGTTCAGGTCAGTTGTAGTGTGCAATGTTAGACGATCTCTTGGCTGGATTGTCTGATTTTTCCCTTGGGGTAGATTTAGATTACTTTGTGGCAGGAATACTGTAGAGGTGATATTTCCCTTTCATCGTATCAGGAAGCACATGATGTCCTTTCCCTCCCATTATTGGTGATGCCATTTCTTTGGTCAGGTTTATTCAGGTATAATTTATATATCATATAATCTATCCTTTTTAGTGTATAGTTCCATGACTTTTTTTTTTTTTTTTTTTTTTTTTTTGAGATGGAGTTTCACTGTGCTGCCCAGGCTGGAGGGCAACGGCATGATCTAAGCTCACTGCAACCTCCACCTCCTAGATTCAAGCGATTTTCATGCCTTACTTAGCCTCCCGAGTAGCTGGGATTACAGGTGCCCACCAGCAAGCTGAGCTAATCTTTTATATTTTTAGTAGAGACAGCA